ATATATATATATATATACATGATGTGCGAGTGTGTGTTCAAAATCTCGCATCAAACAGCCTCCCACTGGATATCAATTGATATCCGTTTGTAGAGGCGCATTGGTTCGATTTGGAATAAATCACATTTATCGTTCGTATCTCATTTCGGAATGTATGATTTTTTAAAGGTTTGCGAGATGCATACTGTTTTAAAAAAATATTGAAAGCATGCTGCAACTATTTTTGAAAACATGTCGACCGAGTTTGTTGATCGAGTATATGATTAGCTTAGATTTACTTTTATGTTAACACATGAAAATGTCTAAAAGCATTCGCCATCGGCCATTCCGAATTTATTACAGTTGAAACGAGGTGAAAATTACAAAAGTGATTGAATACTAGAATATTTATAACTTTATTGATTAACATCTAGTGAGTTCTCTTTTTTTTTTTGTAATTTTCACTTCGTCTTAAGAACTGTATTAAATCTCCTGGACTGCGGTAACTTGTATTTGCTGGAATTCTAAGAAAAAGACATAATTGGTTAGCTGGCGTGGCGATGATAAATCTCAGACGCGTCACTCGCGGTCCTCACTGTCACTTACAGTATTCTCTTTTTGACAATTACTGTGAATTATTTATGAGAGGCCGACCGCGCCTTTCGACACATTGTGGCTGGTCACAGCATTCTGGCACGTAATATAATTCTTCCACCGGAATGGGAAAGCCGAGCTTATTTTACATCAGCTATTCGTATAAGTCCGGAGAACTAAAATAACGGAGCCTAATTTTATTTTTGTTTAATTGGTTTCTACAAGCCCGACGTTATCATTCGACAACGCAGATATGAATCGATACGAAGAACGGAACCGCGTGGAAGATAAGATTCCGGAATTACAAGGACGTTATTAGCGTCCTTTGTTATATCAAAGTCATTATTACGGAAATAAGTTTTACCCACGACAAACCATATCTAAGAATTAACCACTGAGATAATACCGCTATCGAGGTGACTTATAAAGGCCACATTTGTCATTACTAGTTGTATGTAACGTCGCGCGATCTCTTCTATTGAAAAATGATTTGAATGTTCTACAATTCTGCTAATAAAACGTATCATTGGAGATGTTCTCGAAATCACGTTTGACCACGCACGAGACAGACAATGTGTCCTGAAACGTATACGAACGTTTGACGCGATGCCAAGAATCCGAGGTTGTCGTTTTTTGCGTAAACTACATTGCGATCTTCGTGTCGCATAAACTGACAGATTTTCTATCGGCCACTCCGGCGAGATCGGAATTTCTGTCTGTGGAAAGGTCGATGAGAAATTGGTATTTACCGCAATCGTTGATATCATTGAACAATATTGCGTATTTTGCAGCATTGAGCACCTCAAATCAGATTCATCGAAGTTTATTGGGTATTACGCAGATTGAATTGAATTTGCGTGGAATTGCATGACTACTGTATTGGTCGTGTATTCTTGGTCATAAATTTTAAAGTAATCTTTGCTGCGATAAAGATGGATATAAATTCCATTGCAAATGATTAGGAAGAATCGATTACTTGGCGAGAGAAAACATCATCTGTTTATTGAAGCCACGTGACTTTCGAATTTATATTGGGAAGTCTGTATATTTTTTATTTAATCCTTCGATTCTTATCAAAATATTTTGAGCCCTTTTCATTAATTTTCGATTAAGCTAACTGACGATAACATCAACAGTTGCCTTATGCTTTTTATCAATGTAGATTATTTTCAATCTTGATTCAATTAATTAATTCTCCATCTTTTTCTAATTCTAAAAATTAGGAAAAGATGAAGAGTAAGAATCGAAGTTAAAGTTAATCTACATTAAGAGAAACGAGCATTAACCTCAATGTAACTTACACTTAGTGTTTATCTTTTTGTGTAATTTTTAGAATTAAAAAAGGTAAAGAGAAAATTAAACCGAGATTCAAGTTAATGTCACATTTGTGGAACTTTAGAACCTTAGAAAAAGAAGAGAGAGATGTGATATATTGAATTGCTACAGTTGGTACAACTGTAAGGTAATCGTCGGTTTACTTAAGCAGAGATTGATGAAAGAGATCCTCAAAGAAAGGGTGAAGTCTTTCATGCGAAGTCTCGGTTGACGGATTCAAAAACGGGGAAAATGGAGAACCATTGAAAAGATCATGCACAGGAATGAAGCAGAAGGCAATTACACGAACGTTTTAGTTCGACGATGACAAGGGAAGGAGGAGCACTCATGGTCATCGGCAAAAGCAATTTTCATTACACGTTCCAGCTCTTTGCCCTGCATGTTACGTCTTCCCTTTGTAGACATCTGCGAAAATGGCACACGGACTATGGATACCTTTATCTGAGATTTCATCTTCAATTATTTTCTCGATGAAAAATCCGATTTTAATAGCCGTTTTGTTTCCTCTTATTAGTCGTTAATCCTCAGTCCGTGAAATCGATTTCTTTTAAAAAAAAAATTCATAATTACAACGAAGTCATGATTATTGATAGTTAATAAACATACATACATATTTTATAGTCAATTGAGAATTCCACGAACGAATATGATATAATAACAAAAAAGAATAGATATCTGGAAAGAGGGAGGAATTCTCATAGATCTTATCTCAGAAAACTTCATCTTATAGATTGTGAGAGTGAAAGTTTTCCGGGAAATAGCACATAATTCGATGCTTATATCAGTTACATTATCCATGAGATTATCGAGTACAAAATTTTTTGCAGAAAAGTTGCTCCACGGGAGCACTGACCTTTCGCGACAAGTGTCAAAGTTTATTTAGTCTGTACTCGTTATCATTCTAGGAACACGTCACCTACCAACGTTCTGCTTATAATTAATTATCGTGCGCGAGGTGCAATACTGCTCGTCGTAGCACGAGTAATTAATGTCCGCCGGCTCGGTAATTAATCGCATAGCAGTTAGACGCCAATGTCCCTTTCGATGCGCAGATCTTTCGCCAACAATCGTACATCTGCCAAGTTTTACAATTCGCTGTTAATTCTTTCTTCTGAGTATTAGAACGATGGACACAGGCAGAAGTTTTCCAACAAACTCTACGTTCAATTTTACTTATCTGATCGAATTGTTATGCGAGAGATTTGTGATGAGACAACACCAAATCGTTAGAATTTTTTCAAGTTGGTAAACTCCGGGAATAATTAAATTGAATTATAGAAAGGAATTTCGACATTAGAAAGCTAAAGAGAAGTAAGAGAGACTACACATAAACACATGTGCACTCATATGGATTCGTGCTAAAGTACGACAGAAATTTTTGCGTGTTCCTGCATGTTTGAACGATACTTGGTCATCTAAAGCCGTGTGTGAGGGTCAGTCTCATCCGGCATCTTCCCTAATGTTTTTGGAGGGTCACCCGACAGTCTGTCAACCCTTTGAATCTAATTCTCTCACCAGATCTAAATGAACCACTGCATCCCCAGTACGAGAAAATATTTCCGTGGCAAATCTCATTATATCCGTGTTTTTAATGTCTCGACGATGATATGTCGACTACGTCACGGCGTATCCAAGGGTTCATCCCCTCGTCAACGTGTTTTTTCCCTCGAGGTGTCTGCGTTTAGTTACAGCAGGATGAAAATCAACTCGCGTTTGAAGATTAATGACGGAAAGAGTAGTACCTTACTAATTACGCGTACATTTAGTACAAGACTAATCCAATTAGCAGGTTACGAACATCTTTTACATGACTATTTTTTTTTCGTTAATTAATAATACTTGGGAATATTTTAACAGAACGTCTCTCTAGGCTAAACATTCAAGATTCATCTAACTTTTTTGTAATTTTATAATTGTATATATATTTTAAGTTATACTTTTCGTAAATTAAAAGTTTTTTTATCCTTTTTTTTTATATTTTATCACATCTTACAATAACGATAGTTTTAATACAACAAAAACAAATCAAGCAATGTCGAGTGTTTTAAGTCGTCGTGTTGACGTTACAATTCAGACATGGCGAACACATTGATCTCTCACGGACGTTTATTAATTATACGCCTCTTTACTTGACTCGCCAATGCCGCGCGTGTTGCAAAACGTACTTTGGAAGCTCTGCAAACGAGTAAACGGATAGTCTCGGGCAGCCTCCTTCGCGCGAAATAAATACGTCTGGCCGCATTTTTGGCCAGAGGGGCATTATGTCTGCTGGTGGAGCACGCACCGTGATCTTCAGACTGGACACTGGCCAGGGCCGAAAGCCAATCGGCGGATGCATCGCGAATTATCGTGTTTCCATTATCCTTCTAATGACATAGTCCTAATGACTCATTCTTAATGACTACGATCTATAAATCAATATAACTCAGTAAAAAACAGTTTAATAAACTGCCGACCTTTACGTAAAACTGAGATACATTTTGATCTACAGTTCTTTTAGCTATATCCAACAAAAAAAAGCATTGCAAAACTTCTATGAATAAAAAATTGCAATCACTTATATTTTTAATTTCTCTGATAAACAGCAGTAAGTCTCTCTTACATGAAATCATCTCTAATTTTATTTTAATTTTCAGCATTACAGTATGCTGGCATTTGTCGAACAAAGTCATGGTCGTTAGTGCGCGTTCGATCTTATGATATTATTATGGTGTAAATATTTGGCTCGAGTACAAGCCGACTCGTAACTGTTATCCAAATATTTTCTTTCCGTCTCAGCCACATCAATGTCTTTCTAATCCCGCCGGTTGGATCCAGTCATTTTATGAGAGAGATGACAATTGATAATCCCAAAACACACTGAGAAGAAGGATTCTCCTGCTTCCTCTTATTTTCTTCGCCACCAATGTATTTTGTTTTGGACTTTTGAGCAAGTCTGGACTCCAGCAGGTTTGGACGTCGGCCAGAATCACTGGCCAACCGATCATATACGCGAGCCCTCAGGAATCATTCCTGCAATCGTAGAACAACTCAAAAGATCTCTTATTTTTGTTGCACCGTCTTATCCAAATATTAAAGATTTAATTTAATCTGGATGACAAATTCGTAGCTCAATAAAACTATCTTTCTCATTTGCTTATCGTTTACCGTATAACTAAAATGTATTTTGCTGGCGCTTCTCAAATTAAAATTAACGTTCAAGATGTGTAAGACACTTGAAGCTAGGTTTTTTTAAATTCTATGTATTCATTCATCATAGTATATTATTCATTATCTTTTGCGTTTTATTCCACCTCTTATGGCGACGTGATGTATTCACAGAAGTAGGACAATATCGGAAAACTTTTAATCTTATTTCATCAAAGTAGGCTGCGCTCAAATTATTGACCGGTACAGCAACGTGGCTATACTTATCTCTCGAAAGCGATATCCGAGGAGCCGCCATGACGTTCTATCCTGACTTGATAACGTCGCTCGACACGATCTGATCTCTCGAGGACTTGCAATCTCGCGAATTTTGCCGATCGTCGTCTGACCCTCATAGCTGGCGCATCGCCAAGTCTTCTTCCCTCATCGTCTCGCTGTCTTCTTGTTCCAGCTATATTTGCCTCGGCGTGCATCTAATTCGTCGGCGATGACGCTTGTCCGATGCGCTACCTTGTGCACGTCAATAGGAATTCACGACTGTCGCCGTCGCTGATTTACTTACATTCGCGTGGAACGAACGGCAAAACTATAGAAATATATAAATCTAATTAGGGTCAGCATCGCGAAATGTATTCGAATAAGTTTGTGCCTAAGCTGGCACGCAACTTCATTCTCATAAAATATTCCGATGTAACAGACGAGTCGTTGTTTTAATGCATGAAATTTGGTCCTCCTAAACCAGATAACGATAAACTGATAGCACGAAGTACGTGAAACTCGTTAACGTTGCTAGAAACGTTGGCACTTCATCCAAGAGACATCGTCTAAGTTTAGAGAAAGCGCAGGAATATACCCGCTGGTCGCTTCGAAAACCTAACAGTGACATTATCCGAGGTCAGATGGTATCAGAGTAGACACGAAGTCTGAGTAGACATCAGCTATTTGTGTATATCTACTAATTATAAGCTTGCGTGCCAATTATGTCATTTATCGCGTATATGTCACAGTTACTTCCTTCTATGCATAACGAACTGATATATCAAAAATGAATGATATCGATATATTTAGTTTAGCAAAATTGTACATTATACATCTGCAATGCGAACGCGTTGAACATATATTCTATCATTATCGATTGATAACTGATATGTAATTGTATTGTACCAATTATGTTTTTATTATACGATATAATAAATAACAAATATTACAATATCGCGCTATTTCGTTTCATCAACAGATTTGTTAACAATTTCTGCATTATTTAGAATATAAGTAGTCAAGCGTATGTGCGTTTGTGTTATTGAATTTAATATACAATAAAAAATCTTACTAAAAATAGTATTTAAATTAACGTAATATTTTTATTTTATTGCAGGAAGTTGGTAGCATTATCGGAAAAAAAGGAGAGATCGTCAAGAGGTTCCGTGAAGAAGTAAGTATTAATTCTTGAAGAAATATGTCTTCTGATAATGAAAAAAAGAGTTATGACCGCATCACGTATCATAAGATGATATTCTACGTGAAAGCTTGTAAATTATTACTGTCTATTATTTTATTAGTTTCAGCTATCAAGGACAAATTACATTTACAAGTCTTTTAAATTTGTTTTCTACTTTAATCATTTTCTCACTAATATACACTAACTTGACCTCTCAGGATAGCAGGCATTGATTATCGAATATTGGAAGCTGAAAATAGCTTTATATACGTGCATATTATATGAAGACTCATAATCGGTAATATTTTTTTTCCGTTCGTCCAACGCAGTCCGGCGCGAAAATCAATATCTCCGACGGTTCCTGTCCGGAACGGATAGTGACTGTCACTGGGCCGACGAACTCGATCTTCAAGGCGTTCACGCTGATATGCAAGAAGTTTGAGGAGTGGTGCTCTCAGTTCCACGATGTTCCGGGTAGCGGTGCCGGAGGTGGCGGTGGTGTATCGAGGCCGCCCATCACACTCAGACTGATTGTTCCCGCTTCGCAATGCGGCTCCCTGATCGGCAAAGGTGGTTCTAAGATCAAAGAAATTCGGGAGGTTACTGGCGCCTCTATTCAAGTCGCTTCCGAGATGCTGCCTAATTCGACGGAACGTGCAGTAACCATATCCGGTACCAGCGAGGCAATCACGCAATGCATATATCATATTTGCTGCGTTATGCTAGAGGTACGTACCATCGTTTTGCGACGTCATAATGATCGATCATTCTAAGTGTTATAGTTCTCACTTTAGTACTTGATTCTGTAGAAACTGTTTGTAATAATTATAACCGAAAATAACCTACATAATCATAAGCATGCTATTAATTTTGTTGAACATATAGGTATAGAAATACAGTTTACAGTTATTAATCTGTTAATAAATACAATAGTAAGCATTAACAATCGAGACTTAAAAGCAATACTTATTATATCGATTTAATCTTGAAAAGAAAAGATTGCACGTATTTAAATGATTTCATTGAATTATGACGAGTTAGATTAACCTACTAAAGTACAGATTAAATTAGTATAATATTCATAACAAATGTATTCATAACAATGTATTCATAACAATAATTACATTTGAATTTTTTTCATTATTTATAAGTTTCTTCAGAGAAATGCAATACATGTAACTACAGCTGTAAACAAAGTTTTCGACGCTAAAGTAATTCTTTTTTTTTTATTCATATCGTATCATTTTTGGACTTTAATAGGATAAAAGAGCCATCTTTTGATGCGATAACGCGAATGTACCAAATGTAATGGCTCGATCGGTGTATTCGCACTCGTGCGTATGTTTCTTTCTGTTTCAGTCCCCTCCCAAAGGTGCCACGATCCCTTATCGCCCCAAACCCCAAGTCGGTGGGCCAGTGATCCTGGCTGGTGGGCAAGCCTACACCATCCAGGGTAATTACGCGGTGCCCGCCCACTCGGACGTAAGTACAGTATTACCATTGCCCGCGCCCGCTGCCGGGCCCACCCCGCCCTCGCTGAGTACCCAAACTTTGACGACCTCGCCCTTCGCGGCCCACCCCTCATCCTCGGCCTTCGCCGCTTCTCACGGGCACCCGCTCCTATCCACGGCCCATCTTACAACCCCACATCATCCTCTCCACCCAAGCCCCTTACACGCCAGCGTGGCAGGCCTCGCCGACCCCCTGCTGAAGAGTGGACACTTGCAGGCAGCCCTCCCGCCCGCACACCTCGTGGCAGATGCCGTAAGTCTTTTGTTTTTCGTGCTCCACCCTCTCCCTCCACCCCTTCTTGATCACCAACCTGGCTACCACATATCTCCCGGGTAACAATATACATACGATGGATTTCCGTTCTATTTGTCCGAAAAATCAATATACCCTCCCGATTCAGTGTCTCCTTATTGTACGATCCTTAATATATCCGGCAAAATTTCAAACTGGCAACCTCGACAGATGGTTTTACGTTGGAATGATTACGAAGAAAGAATCAGATGGTTCTCGGGGAAACAGTACTTTCGAAGCTGTTTCTTTAAAAACCTAGATAGATCTAACTGAAAATCTGAATAGAAACGTCTGAATATATGTTGAAAGGCTAATATTAACGCAGTTAAAAATTTCTTATTTGTAGTACGTTTTCATATCTATATATTATTATGTTTTTTTGTATAGTAGTTAAGAAAGAGAAATCACTTGCGCAATGAATCTACACTTGTTCATGGTATTAGTGGGATTAATTTGCGGTTAAGTTAATGCGCAATCGGAGGGTAGAAAGTTTTATAGATAAATGAATGATCAAGTGTAGTTACTTGTTTATTGCAACAGCGACTGAACAGTAGTTTTCGTTAAAGATAAAAGAGTGTTGTGAGAAATAGATTAATGTGATGCTTTTATTTAATCATGATCCTTGATCTTTTTTGTGATTTAATTTTATTAACATTTTTTTGTTATATTGAATCTTGGCTGTAGTGATTATTATGATAAATTTCATATTTAAAATACAGATGAAACTATATTTTAAATATGAAATTTATCATAAATATTTTAGAAATTATTTCGAAATATATTAAATATTTATATTACGTTCGAAACTGAAATAACAGTTTACATAATGTTTATATATATATCTTATATCATGTTTTAAAAATCATTTCTTTTTTCATTAATAAAAAAATAATGTTTAGACATATTGAAATATTTACGTATCTCATTTATAATTATTTTGTAAACAATGTATTGATAAGAATTTTCACTGACTTCAATGTAATTCTGGATTCGAGATTATTCCAATTTTCACCAAATGTCGTGGCAGCTCACAATTTATCAATATATTTCATTATTATCTAGGTCACTTGATCCTTTCCCTCTTTGCTGTCCTCTGTCTCCCTCCGCATATATGCATCATACTTCAGCTTTTCTGCTCGATATCCCTGTACGGTTTTGAGCTTTCTATTCAGGAATATTCATGTCACAATATTCTTATCTTCGATTGCTTGAAGATGCGATCAAAAGGATCCTGTCGCACGATTAGGCTCTGACCGTACATACCTTCAAACATTTTCTATCTAATCGCATGACTTCGACTGCAGAAACATCTAATTAAACATAACATGGAACGAAATAAAGCATGCTGTAATTATATTTAATAACTTCCAACATGATTACATCAGAAATTATTTTGCCCTTCGGTGTTGGAAGATTTCTCACATCAGAAATACGAAATGTTCACGATGTATTTCGTTGAAATTTTTATAAATTATATTTTAATAAATGATGAGAAAGCTTGTTTTTTCATATTTTTAGAATAGATGAATATCTTTTCATAATTTTATGATATCAGCGAAGTCACGCGAGATTTTCTAGCTTTGCTTTATATCCGTATGAGCTGTTACGTGCATGCTTTCCTCTTTGGATTATTTTTTTTTTTTTTCTAAATTGTATAGACATTCATCCACGCTTCTAACAAGCTCAACCTGAATCTGTATGTACTCGTGTCTCCTTTGTGTATGCTTGCATTTGGTAGTGGGTTGATCACCTTAAATATTGCTTGCCGTCCTTCACAGTGCATAGAGAAATATTAAGATGCATGCTATGTACAAAGAGTGCAATTGTACGACGTGAGCTCCGATATCAAGTAATGAAATTCGTTAGTTTGATTTTAATGAATAATTAATATTTATGCGATTGAGTTCGATTTTTGTCAATTCAATTCTAAGAGAACTGGATTGACAAAATTTAATAAAATGGAACTGATTATTCTTATTCAATGTTAATCGATCTTATTTTATATTAATCGATTTGCGTCTTTTTTAATGACAAATATTGCAAATTCAAGTAAAATTTGAAATTTTTATCTAAAACTTGGTATCTGAAAATTTTGGTCGTGCACTGCATTTATATCGTTCCGTTGATGATCGTATTGAACTATCAATTAGTTGTTTTATTCTTTTATGTATAATCTATCTTTATCTCCTATCATTCACATCTATTTTTAGATGAGAAAAATACAGGATATGCACATTAGAATTGATCGGTCTCTATAATATGTATTCGGCACAGACGTACTGCATCAAGCAGATAAATAGCCCAGTTTTCTCGATACGATCATCGTCCGAGAGCAGCAATTTGTGCGCTCTCTCGGAAGGAACTTGGAGGCAAAATGGGGATTTGTTCCGAGCCTCGCGCCAAACGATCGGGCCTGCTTAGCATGAATGCTTGCTCACGGGTCGCACAATGGATTTGTCATGGCTTGTCGTTGGATTCGGTCAGGGAGAGAGTGAGAGAGAGACGTATAGAAGGTCCCAGATGTTACTGCTACAAGTCTCAACGAACGGCTTGCGATCAATGAGGAGACCAAATCACCAAATAGCCGACGCTCTAATTCCGGGCTACTATGGTAGTGCTTTAAAAATCCACTCATCCGGCCGATCGATCGGCAGATGCCATGAAACGTCACTCTGATAAATGCCTGATCAATTGAATTGTTCTCGAGACACAATAGGAAGTTTTATCAGTCGAATATGCTGTTTCAATATTTTAATTACGACAGTTTGTTATGTTGTTTGATATATTTATATAACTTGGTTGATATTTTAATTTAGTAAAAAGGTTGCTTTTTGTGTTTTCATATTCGGATATCAATATCCGAATATGAGAGTACGGAGTACCAGATCAAATGTTTCAATCTTTTGCCTTTTAATAGTGATTATATAATTCTGGTAAATTTTATCATTTCGCTTTGAAAACATAAATATAAGTTAAATTTTACGTTACACTAAAATAGATAAAAATTAATGACCTATATTCTTTCTTTATTGATTTGTCAAAATATGTTTATTTTTCCTAAAGTATTTTTATAAATAGAAAATCGTTATCTTTTTTATCGAATCTTCTATGGCGAAACTTTTGAGATCAATCATGTAAATATTTTCATAAAGCATTATCAGGATGACGTGTCGTCGTGTCTCACCTTCTGTCCTATCTTCTCTTTCTGTGCGCTCTTCAACGACCGACGTCCGACACGGAGCCCGACTTCCTCGAGTCCGATTTGCTACCCGGAAACGAAACAAACGAACACAAAATGCGCAATAAAAAAGAAACGTGTCTATACCATAATACATCCCATTATCCATAAATATATTACAATTTGACCAATTTTTTTATTTTCTTTTGTTTTATGTTTTTTATTTTCCTTTCTTCCAGTTTCGATTATTGTCCGTTAACTTCGAGAGACGTGGCTGAAAGGGTGGGGTTAATTTGTAGAAGCGATAAATAAATAATAAATTATGACAAAGTCACAAACGAACAAGGACATGCATGCGTGGCACGAAAAGAGGTAGATTACCTAGATATATTATTACTATTGCGCTTTATATCTACTTTCACGATCCCATCTTTAATACTTTCTCAGTTTCTCAGTCTGCTTGATGAACTCTTACGGCTTACAGTACACGGTTACTACTTCGCTTCTTCTCCTGATACACTGTCTCTGATTTTGTGTTTTTATTTCTGTTTATCTCTACACGGTCTCACATAAGAAATCGTTTCCTGCTCTCCTTTTTAAAATTGACTTCCCTTATCCGATCACAACCTTTTTAAAATTGATTTCCTTTAAGAATCAACTGAGAACATAGGGAAAAAAACATATTTAAAATTTCAATTTAATTCTCTGATTGTTTCTTTTATTTCTCGCTTTTTATATATAAAATACAATTGTCCAATTTCAGGTTTTGTGAAATTTTATTTTAATTATATATGTCATAAAATTATTAAATTTATATTTAAAAAATATTTTTTGCCTTTAAATAGATTTAAAATTATTTATGAGACTTATTTAAATTGCTATAAAATTGGATTAAATACATTTTTTTTATGATTTTAGGAAGTTTAAGTTTTGGTTCAAATTAAGAGAAATAATAAAAATAATAACTATATGAAATTTAAATCAAATTTTACATGATGTATTTTCCAGATGAAACATTTCGAATGTTTTGATTGAAATAAAAAAAATATTTGAAAAATATTAATTTCTTTCAAACTATTGAGTGATTTTTAAATAAATTATTTTCGATAAAACGCTGATCTGTTTAGTATACCAATTACATTTATTTATATGTACGTAAACCTTTGTTTAACTTCGTGAGAAATAAAAGATAAGTTACGCGAGCATAAATACGTGTACACGCATTTAATATCTCTCTTGTCGCGTTATGTTTTGTTCGTTTTTCCACTTCCATCCTGAGTTGCTCATTGTCCTCTTGGCGTCCTGTTTAGAATAGCATGGCTTCCGGCACTTTTTAAGCTAAGAGTCAGCGACGAGTTCGTGTAAGGGTGGGCTGCCCTGTTACGTTTCCACCAGTTAAGCACATTTGAGAGATCATGTCGGGACGGTTTGTCTACGAGACGAGGCGTTTACATATTCGTGAATAGACCCTTAATATTTTTCAGATAATTTATTGATTGCAAACATTCTAAACTCCTTATCTTGAATTTTCAATTACTGAAAATATATCCGATAAAACGGACGATTGAAAAACTCAGCAAATATAGAGTATTCGTCGGTTGTCATTAACTATTGACGTTAGAAATTTTATATGTTCATATTTCTATATCATAACAATATAAACGTATATATTAAGATAATATATATTAATAATGCATATCTATATATGTATATGTAAATATTATCTTAATATATATTAATTTCAGACAGTGTTTCATACAGTGCAACAGCGCTTAGAAATTTTGCACATAAGTTAGTTTAGTTGATAACAGTGATATAGAGAATGAAGTATTATCACTCGTTTAAGGTACATACATACATCCCTTCCTATCTACCTTTCATTTCATCCTTTTTAAAAATAAAAATAGAATATATCATTATTAGTAATTAGATACAATTTTTCTTCAAACGTTTTGTATTTGCTTCAAACGATTAGCTTATTTTAATGTTTACTAAATAATTATTACAGCCAATCAAAATAATTTATGACTAATTATTAGAATACTTAGTCATCTTCTGATTACAATAGTAACTGCAACATGCCGTTAATAGGAATAGTAGTGGATTATACTTGATGAAATGCGATAAAATCTTTGTCGGTGCAAATAAACTGATGTTAAACTTCATGTAAGTATTTGTATAACGTGGAAACGGTAGGTGCAAAGAGAATTGCTGCGTTACATTTCGTGCGATTTAACGGTATCGCGAGAATACAAGGATATAAACATCCTTCTTCTCTCCGCGCTCGTTCGCTCTCTCTTTCTGTAATTTCTGAGCGCCCCTTCCTCATCAAGCTGTCCCTAAGTAATTTCTGCCACGATTTTCGAACTAACGCAACGCGATTCGAAATAGTTTATCTTATTGACGGCCATTCTGTGTACCGTTTATCCTGCCAGAGCAATTTTCCGAGATATATTGCCGTTTATCAATTTAATGCATTTCAGAGATATGCGAGATTTTATATTTTTGCGATAAACTCGAATGGAATGTTGTAGACTGCTTAAGGCGACTGGTAGATACGGTTCTACTTCAATTTCCGTATACATTATGAAGCAAAGGAATTTTTTCGATGGATTATTTGTTGTTAAAAAATGAAATTTAAAGTATTTTCAAAAATAAATAAATCGAATATAACATACGGCCAAGATTTCAAAACGCTTAAAAATTGAACAATTGGAATTTGTACAAGTATTGGAATTTAATCTTATTTTCTCTTAGATGTCAGTTGTTACTAGAGTGTCTTTTCGAATCTTAATCTATTTTACAATAGTTTCTATATCGAATTAACAATTTATTGACACGGAAAGACATAACATACACTGATACGCGAAAAATAAATTTAACATTCTAGTAAACTTTTCACATAAGAGAGAGTAAGAACAAACGTCGTTCAAACTTTATCTATGCGACACTGAAGTCTTTGTTCTAGGTCGATATATGTAATTAAAAACGGTACGCTCGAATGGCTATCGTAGAGCCCGTTATGAGGAAGCCGTCGGACCGGTCCCAGGAAGTCGGGACGAGGCGTTGATTATGTCACGACGTAATGAGTCCGGAATGATCTAATTAAATTGTCGATTGTGAAAGATATCACTTGTCCCCCTTCTTACATAGAATCGAACGTTCTCTCTCAGCGAGGCTGCCCCTGAGCTAAGAATTCTTGCTCGCAATTGGAAATTCTCGAGCGTGATGCGCGAGGTGGCGAACATGTTCAAGCATATATAGATATACTTCTCGGTGTCGTCATAAACCCCATCTCCTCTTAAGCACCCCGAGTGATTGTTCGACGCGGATCCCCCCCTCCCCCTCCCCCATTTTTGAACGATGGATCTCTTCGTCGTTGTTACAGATGGGCAAACTGGGCAGCAATCCTTTGGCTGGACTAGCAGCCTTAGGCCTTGGAGGTCTTGCCACACCGGCAAATACTGGTGGTCTTAATCCAGCAGGTAAGTCAATACATGTCTTCAAAGAAATTGTAGGTTGGCAATCCCCGTATCCTGTTGATGTTGTTCTTTGTTTCGCAAAATTATGTAGAAGAGATTAATAAACTCGTTTTATCTTTTTATTTTCATTGTGGTATATATTGAATTGTATGATGTTGAGTGGTATCAGTCTCGCGACTCTTACATCTCGCAAAGAAACAAATTTACATGTTTGAACTGATAATTTTCTCAATTATTTTGATATATTTTTAAAAATTATTTATAATTTTGTACATTTTTTACGATTGTTAACACAATTTATAAAGCAATTGACAATAGACTATCTGTTGAAATTTCAAAATTAAGTTGATAATAATCAATGTGGTATTGCAATAAATTTTTCCTGTGAACGAACTTTACCGATTAAGAGTTATGTTAATACAGATTCGTATACCGCAATGAGAAGTTAAATTTATCTATGAACTGTTCTCACAAACATTAGTTAAAGTTTATTGGTTCTAGAGTAGAACTGAAAGAAGAACGATAGCATCAGCAAGCCACAATTCAACTTTGATGCAACTAATTTATAGAAGCAGCCTTATACAAACGTATTTCTTCCAGTTGCCTCACTGGTTTCTAGTTTTATAAAGGAAAACTTTTTCGTGAACTTTTCATTACGACCAACATTCAGGAAGAAACTTTTCTAATATTTGCGCAATTGATGGCATAGCGTTAGCTGCATTGGCTGGAAGCCAGCTGCGTACGAACAACACGAACAGGCAGCAACCGGCGGCGAACAATCAGACGCATGAGATGACCGTGCCAAATGAGCTGATCGGTTGCATCATTGGGAAGGGCGGTACTAAGATCGCCGAGATCCGTCAGATCTCCGGCGCCATGATCCGAATCAGCAACTGTGAGGAGAGGGAGGGCGGAGCAACGGACCGCACGATCACCATAACCGGGAACCCGGACGCCGTAGCGTTGGCACAATATCTCATCAACATGAGGTGAGTACTACGTGGTCTGTATCCCATATTCCTCAAGCCTATCAAACCGAAGGTCAACCTTCGGACCGACAGGAAGCCATTCCAAGAGGTTCGTCCAAGGTTCGGCTTTCGGTGTGTCACCGAAATCCATTTTCAATAGAAAGCAGTCGAACTCGTCCCGGCTACGTTTTACAGTGGATCGCGATGCATTTTCCCCTTGATCTCTTTTTATTTATTTATTTATTTTTATTTATTTTTCCCACATTTCTGCCGACACTGCCCGCTAAATTGGTGACGTGTGTCGCTGGCGTAGAGTGATTTCTTATTGACCTTACTCATGATCGAGATCCGCCGATTCGCCTGTTTATATTATTCCTCACACAACCTGTTGCCTCACTTAATTTTGATGTCTTCTTAATGATGAGATTATATAAGGGATAGTCGAATCGGCACTCCTCGCGATATCTCCCATCATTACTGTTATCACCCTTGCTCACGACAACCCGCGTATAGATGACTTTCGTCCATTTTCCTCTGTCCATTAAGCTACTGCACAAAATATTGTAAACTATACATAAATTTAAAATTAAAGATAAAATTTTAACACAATATGCTTAACAATACGTTGTTCTCGTAAAAGGGATAGTTATAAGACGATATATATTTTATTTTCTTCCCAAGAAATTTGCAGTTAAAACGGACATTAAAGAAGTTTTACTCTATTTCTGAGAAGATTATAATTGGCATTAGGAGAAAAGTCGTCTTTACTGCGTGTCGCCGCGAGAGATGTTATAAAAGAGGTGGTGTTACGCTGAGGATGATACTACTACAAAATACGCGCATAGTTTTTTAACAAGCAATAATAATAATAATCATCGGAGAAAATTTCTCTGGGTGAAATAATAGAAAAGAAATCGCGTCGCGTAACGCCACCTCAGTTTACAGCGAAACAGGTCGTACGTAATCGTAAAGTAACGATGCGAGGAGAAGACGTCACATCTCGACGGCCATGATCGAGGTACCAGCGTTCATGTATGCAGATACTGGAAGACATCGACATCGGCCGTAAGACGGAAGAGGATCTTAATCCTTTATTTCCAGGTCCTGTCTTCCAGGTCCAGTACCCCGAGTATCCTGCAGACACAACTCCGTTCAACATCTGTTCCCATTGTCGCTGGCTGTCCTTTCAAGCAAATAAACTACCGACTGAAAGACATAATGAAAAGATGTACGAGGACTGTCGCTCTGTTAGTGACAATCAATCCCGAACAGTCCCAAACAATCGTATCACAGTTCCTCCTTTCGATTCGTTTTTTAATGACACGAATTTCTTTCTAGTTTGACAGGCTCCCGGTAATGGACGATCAGCTTATAACATTTACGCTTACATTTCCATTTTGTGTATTTATAATTCAGTTCGCGAAAAAGAAAACAAGATACTGGTATATTTAAATTTGAAGTCGCGAGTATGTTTCTGGCATTATGTTTAGAAAAATATATGCATTACGTATATATGCAAACGTCGTGCCTTTATTTGCGCGATAAAATGTGAAGGGTTTTCCTCGTCCTTGCCAGGAACCTTCGCCATAGCATCTTTACATTTTAGTTATATGCTTTCATCACTGTTGTTGCCATCGCTTAATGTTCATTG